GCTTGATAGGATGGTTAACAACCTAAGTTTGCAGACCAAAATTAGAGAAAAAGGAGGGCTACAAGGAAAGCCAACATTTTGGCCCTAGTCTTCTACGGTCAATTAAGACTCAGGACATATGAGAACTTGTACTGTAACGTCATGTACCTCGGTAGTGTCCCAAATTTTCTGATCAAGAAGATTATGGGGCCAAAGAGGAAAGTGATCGATGACGTAGAGTGTGCCTAAGGAGAGTCACATGGGGAGAAGACACTCTCTCAGGCTTTCACAGAGAGCACATTGGCCAAGCAATGGCCGTGACTCATCCACATGGCTGACACTGACAAAGGTTCTACAATCTGAGGTACAGGATCTCAGGATAAATCCTGAGGGCATTTCACTGACCTTCTCAGACCAAAAAGCTACAACTCTTGTTGCATAGGTCCTGCTTTACCTTGGTCTTAACCATCCAGTAGAAAAGTATGAAGACGAAATATAGGAAATAAAGCCATGCTGTTAAGTTGAGCTGTGGGGGACTCAAGTCAATAATTTCTGACATTGCCAGTTAAACAGAAGACCCAATGCTATTATGGGCTACTGGACTCTTTTAGAATATTTTGCTGAGTTTACACACCTATATTCAATAACGGAACTTAGAAAAAATGGGGTATACCTATGAATGTCCATTTTTTATTTGTGTATTCAAAGTGGTTGGGATAGATATATAGTTGCATTCTCTTAATGAATAGAATGATTTGTTCTAATGGTGTTTGTAAATAGGATCACAAGTCCGCATCTTGTACAGCAATTAACCACTAAGAAGAATATATGCAGTGTATTATTTGTTGAAACTGTACTTCCGATTTGATTTGAAACTGTCTCATTGCTATCTGTTTATCAATAAAGCTTGGGGGAAAAAAAGAAGTAAAAAAAAAAAAGAAGAAGTATAGGGTATAGGGGGCTCTTACAATGAAAGCTCTTTATAAAAGAGGTCCCATGGGGCTCCCTTGACCACTGCACCCTGCAAGGTCATAGCCAGCTGCCATTTATGAACCACAATGCAGACCTTCACGAGATATGAAATCTGCTAGCCCTCTCCAAGCCTCCAGAATGGCAAGAACTAAATTTCTGTTCTTTGTAAGCCATCCAGTTTATGTTCCCTATTTTGTTATAGCAGACTATGACTAAACCAGACACTTTCGGAGACAGACATGCTTGGACAGGTCATTGTCATAGAACCAGCTCCATCCCAGGGAGACGAAACATCTTAGGAACTGACAGTAACCATAGAACTTGCTATTGGGAATGCATAAGAACAAGTGCCACAGCTCTGGAAATACACCGAAAATGAGATGCCACCACCAGGGGCAGAACTTTGCACTGGGGTCGATGAAATGATGCTAGTAGAGCAAGCACTGGAGACAAGGAAAGACCACCTACTAAGCTGAGGTCTGTGGGGCTGGCCTGGAAGATCATTCATGGATCCCAGTTTGCCAAGGACTATATGTTAGACACCAGTGTATCAGAGTATTATCTCAGTGAGAATTCCTGGGTTTGCTGATTGCACTGTGGTGAGAGAGAAGAATGTCCTTGTTTAAAAATACATGGGAAAGTATTTAGAGGTGAAGTGTCAAGATGTTCATCATTTTCTCTTAAACGATATCTCAGTTACTTTTTCATTTTTGGGACAAAATACCTGACACCCATAGATCTAAGAAGGAAAAGGTTATTTCAGCTCAGTTTGTAGAGTTTCATTTCATAGTTGGCTGGCTCCAAGGCACAGCAGCATGGCAGAGGAGACACCATCCATGGCATGGCCTGCAAAAGGAGAGAGCTCCTTTTTCTTTTATATTCTATCCAGGGTACAAGCCTGGGTGTCACTACACCAAAAAACTATGCTAAATCATTTTCTCTCTCTCTCTCTCTCTCTCTCTCTCTCTCTCTCTCTCTCTCTCTCTCTCTCTCTCCTCTCTCCTCTCTCCTCTCTCCTCTCCTCATATTAGAGAAAAATTAAAAATTAATAAAATGCTAACAAAGTATATGAACAGGAAAAGGATATGCATTATACTACTCTTGCAATCCTAGAGATTTAAATTTCTCACAAGAAGAAATTTGGGAAAGGACTGTAACTGACACGTCCTATAAAGAAAAACAATTTGAGCTTTAATGTGTACTTATTTACAAATTACATAAATATACTGTTCCAATCACATATTATGTGTTTAGACTCTCAAACATGTTACAGCTTGAGTGCACTGCGTGACTTGAGTGAATAGCTATTGTTAAGACAGTTACTTCCCATTAAACAAAGAGATTCCCCTTCACAGGACGACTGTCTCACTGCTGCAGAAAAAGTACTGAGCAAGGTGGGAAGTTTCTGGGGTGGGCTTGCTGAATTTAAAGCCTTGCACTAGTAGAAGAGATACGTTCAGCCTCCCACTGCCAAATGGGCAAAAACCTCTGCAGTGGGCCATCTATTCAAGGTGACGGGACACAGCGTGGAGAGTTACAAGCAGGCTCAGCCACGTCCCAGTGAGAAGACTACTGCGAGGAATTTCTGAAAACTCTGAGACTTTTATTGCAATCCGGCAGGCTGCGTGAACTCTTGCTGTAGAGAAGAGCAAGAGCAAGAAGTGGAGGTTGGAACCGAGCCACAGGACTGAAGCAAAAGCCAGAGCAGGGCTGGGTGGATGTGGGGTAGGGTGGGACTGATCATTTTCTTTGCTCCCTTTCTTTCTTCTTTCCTTCCTTCCTTCCTTCCTTTCCTTCTTTCTCTGTTTCTCAGCAACAGATTTGAGTCTTTTCACTGAACAACATCCCAGCCCTTTTACATTTTACTTTTCCTTTTGAGGCCAGGTCTTGCTACATTTCCCAGTTTGGCTCAGATCCCTCTGCCTCCGGCCTGGGTGTGCTGGGATTACACGCACAATGCTCCTGAGGGCACTTCTCTGAGCACAACAGAAGTGGCGACAAGCACGACTGAGCCACTGACATGCTACTGAGCCTCCCACAAGAACGAGGCAGTGTCCAGGTGCTTCCCCAGGGCAAAATTGTTAAATCTGGTGCACAATTCTCTTAAGGCCACCAAAGAAAAGGTGATTAAATTTAAAATCTGATGTTCTGGCTTCCCTGGAAGGTCTAAATTTTCTGTCAGGTGAATTTCAAGCCCTACAGGCATTAGGCAGAGCTCTCTCGACCAACCGGGTAGGACCACACAAAGAAGGGGGGTCCTCCTCAGAGGCAGTACCCACCCTCTGTGGCCACAGTGAGCACTCCCTTAGGAGAAGCAAGGCTCTGTCAGCGGCCTTTGCAAACCCAATGCTTGGCCGTAACTGCTACTAGATCAGAGCTTCAGTGACTGCCCTGTGGGTCCCACCCTTCGTGAGCTCCATCTTCAGTGATCATCCACACTCCCACCGTCCAAGTAGAACTGCAGACTCCAAGGTATCTGGCCACCACCTGGGCCCCCCACTTCTGCTGCCACTCAGGGTAGAGCAACTGAGGCTGGCTTCAGGGCTTCTACCTACTCTATCACACTGCACGGCCATTCTCCAAGCCTAAGCTGGGCACTGGTATTGACCCACCCACTTTCCCCCATCAGATGCTCTCCTTGTATTCAAATATGTCCCTGTCACAGCTGAGCCAGCCAGGGGAAAAGCTAAGGACCTAGAAGGGAAAACACAGCAGGAAAATGCCCACTCCACCTGTCCGAGGAGCAGCTGGACCTTGTTCCCTACTGGTCTGTTACCCGATTCACAGACACTCCAAAAGTCAGTTTGCTAAGAGCAAGGATGTTATTTTCTGCTGGTTTGTGGTATGCCCATCTACCAGGGATGGTGTGTGTGTGCGGGATAACTGACGTGGTACTGACAGCGGTGCATGCACATGGTTTGCTCTTATTAAATCCCTGTACACTTTGATCTCTTTCTTCTTTGTATTCACTAGAAGTTGAACACTGTGAATCCAGGAAATACATCTCATGACCCTTTACAGTTTTGTACTCCAATCCAGCACCTTAGCACGGAGCCAGATAGCCCCTCTTCTTTTTCCAATCTTGAGGCAGCACCTCTCTGTGTTGCCAAATTGCCCATGCTGGGCTTGAACTTACAACTGTCCTTCCTCAGCCTCTCAGAGTCCTGGGGTTGCAGGTGTGGACACCACACGAGGCACATATGCAGACACTTCCAAAATGAATTCCTATCTGATAAATCCCTCTATCATTTCTAATATATGTCTACCTGCATCTTGAAAAAAACATTTGCATTTCTGGATTTACATTTCACACCTTAGTGATGATAGTGATGATCTCCTTGAACTGTCAAAGGCACAATAAATTAGCATAGTATTCTGATTTATGTAATTCTCACATTTTTCCCATAACTCTAAAAACAACAGGAACTCCTCCTCATCCCTCTTGTTATTTTGACAATAAGCTGTTCATATTTTGCATAAACTTTGATGGTAACTAGACAAATACAAAAGGGGATGGAGTCTGGTGTGACAGCACATGCCTGTAATCCCAGAACTCAGGAGGCTGAGGCAGAAGGAGTGCTGTGAGTCTGAGGCCAGCCTGGGCTACATAGTGAGTTCAAGGCCAGTCTGGACTATGCAGTAAGACATTGCAGTAAGACTGTGCAGTAAGAAGGAGGAGAAGCAGAAGGAAGAGGAGAAGGAGGAGGAGGAAGAAGAGGAGGAGAAGAAGGAGGAAAAGGAGGAGGAGAAGGAGGAGGAGGAGAAGGAGAACAAGGGGGAGGAGGAGAAGGAGGAAGAAGAGGAGGGGGAGGAGGAGAAGGAGGAGGGGGAGGAGGAGGAAGAGAAGGAGGAGGAGGAGATGGAGAAGGAGAAGGAGGAGGAGAAGGAGGAGGAAGAGGAGATGGAGGAGAAGGAGGAGGTGGAGAAGGAGGAGGAGAAGGAGGAGGAAGAGGAGATGGAGGAGGAGGAGGAGAAGGAGGAGGTGGAGAAGGAGGAGGAGAGGAGGAGGAGGAAGAGGAGGAGGAGAAGGGAATGGACTCCACACTTGCCTTAAGCTCATTGGTGTCCGCCAGTTTGGCTTTGAGCTCCATGTTGGATTGGCGAAAGGCACTCAGCTCCTTCTGCATCCTCTCCACCTTCTTCTCCAGCCTTCTGATGGTGAGACAGGCCTCGTCCCTCTCCACAGCCAAGGCTGTGCGCAGCCGCTTCTCCTCCTCCAGCTGGGCGATTTTCTGACGGAGGAGACTCATGTGCAACTCCTTGCTCTCCAGCCTTTCTTTCTGAGTCTTTAGCTGGTAGGACAGAAGCAGGGATAGAAAATAATAATAATCAAACAGTCAGTAAATATAAATGAATTACCCAGATAATGTTAGTTTACACCTACATTTCAAGACTAGTTTATAAACCATCAAATAAGGGCACTGGGCTCCTTTCCTTCATCCCATTTTTTTATTGATATTTTTCTGAATAAAAATGTGTTTTATGTATTTGGAATTAATTCTGAGGCTACAAAGTACTGAACAAAAGAGACACAGAAAACTTGCAAAAGAGTCAGCTTGCCACACCTGCTTCTTGCCAAGACTCTGTGCATCAGAACAGAAATATGAAATTACTTTTAAAATGACACAAGTAGGTTTACCAGGAGCAGAATATAAGAAGGCAGAGAGATTTTTTAAAATTTTCATCAACACTTGATTGGCCACAATATCTGCACCAGTGTTTTCTGAAAAAAGTAGGCCACAAGTTAGTACTGCAAGCTCAGCCTGTGAAACATAATCCCCAAGGGCTACCTGAGTAGCAAGCACCACAAGTGTCGATGTGTTTTAAAGTAGGGCATGCCAAGGGGACATTCTCATGTACATGTTTTAAATCTTAGAACTACAAGTGACTTCAAGTAAGTTTTACTTCTTTGAGGTCTTCATTACATTCCTGGCCTGTATGCTTACCCTGATCATCAAGCTTGCTGAGGGAAACTGGAGTAACATTTCAGAAAATGACAATGGAAGGCCAGTGAGATAGCTCAGTGGACTAAGCAACTGCTTTGGCAAGGGCAGGGACAGGTTTCAACTCCCATTGTCACATGCCTCACCAGCCCCACCCCCAGACATGCTGAGCCGGTGACCAGTCCATGCGGGATGGCACACACCTGTAATCCCAGTGCTGGGGAGGCTGAAAACAAGAGGATCACTGAGTCCAAGCTGTGTAGTGAGACCCTGTACCAAATACATAAATGGAAAAAGGTAAGGAAAGCAAAGGAAAAGAAAGGAAAGAAAAGCAAAGCAAAGGAAAGGAAAGGAAAGGAAAGGAAAGGAAAGGAAAGGAAAGGAAAGGAAAGGAAAGGAAAGGAAAGGAAAGGAAAGGAAAGGAAAGGAAAGGGATTCTCCCTGCACCCTCCAAAAAAGAAACCAAGGCCATGATGTTATGACCTCAGCCTGGTGAATTACAGCAGATTTCTGTCTCATATAACCATAACATAATTCCACATTGTTGAAACTCAGGG